GAATCAGCAAGAAAACATCAAACAAACCCATTAAAAAGTGGGCAAAAGACATAAACAGAAGCTTTTCAAAAGGAAGATAGACTAATGGCCAATAAACATATGAAAAAATGCTCAACATCTCTAATCATGAGGGAAATGCAAATCAAAACCAGAGTGAGATATCACCCAACTCCAGTAAGAATGGCTTTTATCAAAAAGTTCTAAAACAACAGATGCTGGCATGAATGTGGAGAGAAAGGAGCATTTATACACTGTTGGTGGGACTGCAAACTAGTATAATCTCTATGGAAAGTAGTATAGAGATATCTCAAAGAACTAAAAGTAAAACTACCATTTGATCTAACAATCTCAGTACTGAGTATTTATTCAAATGAAAAAAAGTCACTTTATCAAAAAGACTCCTGCACTAAAATGTTTATTGCAGCACAATTCACAATTGCAAAGATGTGGAATCAACCTAAGTGCCCATCAATCCATGAGTTGATTAATAAAATATGATATATGTATACCATGGAGTATTACTCAGTCATAAAAAAAAATGGTGAACTGATACATCTTGTAGCAACCTGGACAGAACTGGAGACCATCCTTTTAATGAAGTATCACCAGAAAGGAAAAACAAATACCACATGTACTCACTACTAAATTGTAACTAATTGATCAACACTCATATGCACATATGGTAGTAAAGTTCAACAGAAATCAAACAGGTGGGAGGGGGAGTTATAAGTGCACCCACTTATACTTTGACTCAAATTCTACAAAAGCAATTCATGTAACCAAAACGTACCCCTATAATATTCTGAAATAAAAAACAATAAAAATGAAATTGATATTTCCCATGGGTAGTAGAAAGTTAAAAAAAAAATTCCTACATTTCACTTGATCAACCAAATAATACCCATTTTTACATACTCTCCTAAAGCAAATGCTGGAAAGAAGTAGGTTTTCTGACTACTTTCTCTTCATGCTGAAATTTAAACCATATGTAATATTAGTAATAATCACAACACTGCTATTGCTGCTGAGTAACTTCAAGTCCCAAAGGGCAGTTTGTTCCCATAATCAGGCCCCCAGGCCTCTAAGGTCCTAGGTTTTTGGAGAGAGAAAAGAGGAATCCTAAGAATTTCATCATTCAATGGAAAACTAACACATAAAACATTTCTTATAGGATTTTATGGTTTAGAAAATACTTACCACCTGCATTGCCCTACTGATTCATGGTCAGGAGGATTGTGATTTGTGAGTGCTAGTGTCATCTCTAGGAGCTCAAGGTCAACATCTTGCTCAAGGTCACCCAGCTGGTAAGACTCCAGAATTTGAACCAAGGGCATGGATCCTACTGCCTTGTTCTACTTTCCACATCACAGTGGAGTGGAATAACTTGACTCAAGATGGTTGGAGGAAGGAAGACAGAGAGATAGAGGGAGCCTGAGAAAAAATGTGAGGATGGAAGAATTTGCTTTGGCTGCTTTCAGAATCTCTGCCCCCAAATGGTCCATTTCCAAGTGGTCCATCTTTTTGGACCAATTTCCAGAAATAAGGTGGAAATAATAAGGTCAAAAAAACAAAACAAAACAAAACCAAAAACCAAAAAACGATGACTTCATATCTAATCATTGTGAAATCCCACCATCTATTCAAAGTCTAGTTCAGCTTCAAGAGCTAGCACAAACTCTTCAACATTCTTTCACTGTTGGAGCTTTGAATCACTTACTTTCCATCAGAATCTCTCAAAAGAAATGACAGACAACCCAGTATTTAATGACATCCTGCACTTGCTAGTTATTGTTAGTCCTCCCTCGTCAACAATGCTAAAACCTCAGCTATCCAATAAATAAATAAATAAATCCATTAGAGTGTCTGAGTTTTCCAGGTAATTGAGGGTTTTCTTCCTTAGGCCCAAGCATTTTCAAAAGCGTTTGGTAAGAAGCACATTTACGGCATATCTTATATATCTGTCTTTTTAAACACAGTGTGTTAAGTACCTCTTTGCCATCCATTGTTACATTGTGCCTTATTACTGGATGTCCCTGTACTTAATGCTCTCATAGTCTGGAGCCTTTTGGCTTTTATCTATTTGTTTTACAAATTTCTCCTCTCTTATTTGCAGAGGTTTTCAGCCATCAGTGTGCCTGCAGTAGAAATCTTCTATCATCTTCCAACTCACTGCTCCTAAAGAGCTGTGAGTTTGAAAATCAGAGAATCATGATTGTTAAACTTATGAGCAAAATATGAGTGAATAAGTCTCCAGTAGGGGCCAGGGGTACAATTCTATTATTTGGGCTGATCAAAGATTAGAGCACAGGTTTAATTCATGTCTCTTGATTATTTTTACATGGAAGAATTTCCTGAATAGCTGAGTTCTGCATAGGGGAAATGAAATGTTCTTGGAGATGATAAAATTCATCAGGTAATTTTTCAATGTTTTCGCAGAGTCCAGCTCACTGAGGAGGCTCCAGCAGACACTGAACAAATTACTTGCCGATTACAGTGTCTTCAGCTTCAAAGAGTATCTAATACTGACCACAAGTTTCATTTGTACTGGCTGTTATTTCTGTGCCCTCACGATTGCATGCAGTGGGAAATCATGGCACAGCATAGTTTTAATTTGGCATCTTTGTAAGACAACTTAAATTTTTTTTTGAAACGTGGTTAGGTGTGAACAAAGTGGTGTGATCCAACTAACTTTGAATGAATAATACTACAACATCCAGAGAGACCATGGGTTGAGTAACCTCTGAATTAACTGCTCTTATAAATAAAAATGGCAATTATTAGACTTTAAAAATCTCTGAAAGAATGTATAAATTACACTTAAGATTGTTCTTATTAACCCCACAGAACTACTGAGAGAGAAAGAATGCAACAGAGAAAAGAAACAGCATCTAAAACTTGCTTCAGATAGACAATATCTGCGGCAGTTTTTAGTTTTTATCTTAGTGTTTTATTTCTTTGTGGAGAGGATATTGGGAAATATCAAGGAATGGTCATAGAAAAGAAAAAGAGGTGAGAGAATAAATTTTCTGTGCCCTGTTTTACTTTATCACATCATTGCATCAAGTGTAAAGTATTAATGAGCTTGAGAAATCACAAAACCCAGACAACCCACTGCAAGATTGCGATGAGACCTCTGTCTCCTGAACTTTTTGCCCAGCCTTCTCTGAGCCTGCTTTTTAGCACTTTAAAATTAAGAGGAGCCCTAGAAACTACAGGTTTGATCATTCAAAGGCTATCACATGGGAAGTCTGAATGACTACATGGTTAAACTCATATTTTTGCCCCAAGGTATGGATTGAGTCTCAAAGGTAGCATTCAGCATCCTTTCCTACTGAGATCTCATTATACATGTGTAATTTGAGTAAACAATGAGACTCTATTGAATTAAATTCTTCCCTTTAAATTAGCCTTAATACAAAAAGGGAGGAGATGGAATGCTTACTCTTATAAAGAGATTAAGTAATTAATTATGTAGGTTCTATGAAATATTGAAGGAAATCATGCAAATGAATTTACAAACAATTAGAACAACAAGCACTGAAATATGTGTATTTATATAAAAAAGATAAAGTAAGCAAGGATTAGTTCATTAATCTCATGAAATTTCTCCACCATAAGAGTGGTATACACTTGACTGAAGTGCTAAATAAAATTTCAGTCAGACGTTGATTAACTGGAACCCAATATTGCTAGATATTGACTTTTTGAAAAAATCACTTTTAGAAAATACATTGTGTTCAGTTATCATTTTAGTCCAATTTCATATCTAGGAGAAATTGTGTTCATAACCATAATACTCCCCTCCTTTATTTATATAGGATTTCAGGGTTTTCGACTTGCTTCATGATCCAGAGACATTACAAAAGCCTCTGTCAGAAAATGCTATCTTTTTGAAAAACAAAGATCAAAACAAAATGATTTTGAGGTTAAGCTTTCATTAAGTAGACAATGTAACCCACACAAATTGCATAAACCCTGAACATGTCAGGTAATCAAGGTTTAATCAACATTTATTATAGTATCTATTATCTAAAGTTAGAAGCTAAATAAATAAGAGCTTCTCTCTGGTTTTGTACTTCAAATTTTCATATACATGCTCCCAAATGCTCTTAGCATTAGCATTAGTATCAGGAAATATCTACATTTTGCTCCTGTAGAAGTTCTGGGTGTTTTCCCCCACAATCATTTCAAATCATTTGAAATTACAGAATAATCAGGATGCAGCCTTGACCCCAGAGCAGGTTTCTCAACCTCAGCACTATGGATATTTTAGCCCGGTTAAGGCTTTGTCGCGGCAATGGCTGTCTTGGGCATTGTAGGCGTTCAGCAGCATCCCAGTCTCTACCCATTAGACACCACTAGCATGTCTATAAACACCACTTGCATGCCCCTCTAGGCATTGCCAAACGTCCCCAGGGGGGCAAAAATCTCTAACACAAAATAATGACTACAGATATGACATCATAAGAGATCTATGACACAATAATAAAAGGAGATCCAACATATACAGTGACTGGTTGTTTATGGAGTAGGAAGGACAGATAAATAAATTAAAAAATATAATTTAAAAATTACTGAATTAAAGGAAAGACCCAATTGAGAATAAGAAAGGGAAAACACCAAGATACAGTCTGGTAATAAACTTCAAGGATTAAAATTTAAAAAAAAAAAAAGAAAAAACAATGAACATCTAGGCAGGAAAAGGTACAAGGAGAAAAAATTCAGCTTCAGACTTAACCAAATCAATGCTAGAAGATTGTTAAAAAAAAAAAAAAAAGTTCTGTTATTTGGGGTGAGTTATTAAAAGGAGTCATTCTTCTTTGCTTAAGAGGTGTAGCCCAGGACACAGCCTCCACCTTGGTGGACCTCTGCTCAAGTTCAGGACCACAGACTCAGCCACTGGCCCTGCTTGCGAATGCTAGTAGACACCACCAGTGGATTCATTGATTCAAAGTTTTTTGAAAATCTATTATTTGCCAGAAACATGCCAATTACTCCACTCTTTTGCCAACAATGTTTTTATTTATCGTGTCCATTTTAACCTTCAATAAATTTTAACCTTTGCTAAGCTTTTATCTTCACACTTCATTAAGATTGGACAGCCTTTTGTTGGTTAATTGGGCATTCCTATTCTTATGGAGTTGCCTCTACACATTGTGCACATCCATTTTCCTACCATTGTGTTCATATTTTAAGCTGGACTGGAGCAGCTCTTTGTTAACTGTCAGATGTGTTGAGAGAATGGGCTTCTCCGGCGTGTATTTTATCTTTGGAATTTGTTTCTGGTGTTTTGCTGCACCTAAGGTTTTCATTTTAACGTGGTCAAATCCTTCAGACTTCTCCTTTACAGCCTCTGGGTATCTCATCTTCCTTGGAAAGGTCTTTATATCACTCTGGGATTATGATATTCTTATACTTGTAAGTATTAGCATGGCCGAACCACAACTGATGACTGAAATTCAGATGCTTCTGACCCAGTGATCAGAAGGACCCTGGGAAAAAGATGATATTTTTTTAAAGGGCTAAAAATGTAAAATACAAAGATCATACAGGTCAAACAGCAGAAAAGCTGAAATTCCACACATTTAATAAGGCAGCTCTTGTTGAGTTTACCTATAATTTGTGAACAGGTAGCAAGGGCACAGAAACATACATTAAGGCCCTATGGTCAGCTAAACTGCCTCTTTTTCTGGTGTATTATATATGTATGCGTACATACACAGATATTTACATAACTGGTAATTTAATTTGAATAGGCCCTTCTGTGTGCCCAGAAAGAAAAGAAACTCTGATGAGACACATAATTCTTTCCAATTTAGCATACTTTAAGGTACCCAATACCCACACCTCATCATCTTTATCATCTACCTCTTGATTGTGAAATTTTATAACTATTTACTCAATTCTCTTTTTTTCCCATTAGTCTACAAAAGCCCAACATTTTTCTCACCTACCCCCCACTGATCTCAACTCGTTACCTTACCTCTCTGGATTAAATTCCTCTTGACTGATGAAGTTTGGCCGTCTGGTTTCAGCAAGCTGGAGTCTCCCCATTTATACTCTGCCTGCCAAGCCCCGCCCCCAAATGACCAGGACCATTGTGATGTTGAACCTAAGGGTCTCTATTGTGACATAAGCAGCTGGCCCACAGGGATTTTGCTTTCCCACTTTAAGGGCCTTCACTCTGCTGGACACATAATAGATATTTAATAGCAATTATAATAATAATGGCTAAGATTTATTAAGCATGTGTTATGTGCCTTATGATGCTAAGAACTTCTCATATATTTCTTCATTTAATTTCCACAAAACCTTATAAAGTAGGTAAAATTCTTACATTATTATTCCCTATTTAAGAGTATTAAATTAACAAAAATCCCAAATAAAAATAGCAAAAGACAGTCTGTAAAAAAGACATCTGCACTCAAATGTTTATAGCAACACAATTCCAATTGCAAAGATATGGAAACAACCCAAGCACCCATCAATACATAAGTGGATCAATAAAATATGGTATATGTATACCATGGAGTTCTGTTCAGCCACAAAAAACAATGGTGATATAGCATCTCTTTTATTATCCTGGATAGAGCTGGAGCCCATTCTACTAAGTGAAGTATCCCAAGAATGGAAAAATAAGCTCAACATGTAGTCACCATCAAATTAGTATTAACTGATCAACACTTAAGTGCACATATAGCAATAACGTTCATCGGGTGTCAGGCAGATGGGAGGGAGGTGGAGGGGATGGGTATATTCACACCTAATGAGTATAGTGCGCACTGTCTGGGGGATGGGCACGCTTGAAGCTCTGACTCGGGTGGAGCAAGGGTAATATACGTAACCTAAACATTTGTACCCCCATAATATGCTTAAATAAAAAAGAAAAAAAATAGTTAAAAAGGTCTTTCAAAAAAGGGCAGGTGATCCATTTTAATTGTTGTAAAGAAATTTTGCGGAAAACATGGCTGCCATACACAGTGAGAAGGCAGACTTTTGTTTGGAACTTTTCAAAATGTAAATGATTAATAATGTGTGTTTCCTACCAACTGCCTTGGAGAAAGCAGCATCCCTTCATTAGGGAGATGAGGAGTCCATAGAGAGAAAGTAGCAGGGAGTGGATGGAAGACAAGGTAACAACAGAATTAACAAAGGAGGGCTTGGGGCCTGTTAGGATTCCTTCTAAGATAGAGCTCACCCTACATCACCACTGGGTATTTCCCGAGGCAGGGGCCACAGTCATTTCATCTTTGGACTAGCAGCATCTAATGCAGGTCTCCCACCAGGGAGGGAAGAGGGGAGTAAGGGCTGATCCTGTCTCTTTAGGGTTTCCCATGAACTAAGAATAATTACTGTGACATAGGATGTTTTGAAATTCCTTTAATTCCCCTGATATTATCACTATTTTGTTATTGTTGCTATTATACTATCCTCATTTTCCTACAGGAAAAGCCAGTAAGACACTCAAAGCAAAACGATTTGTTTGCTGATTTTGACAGGCAGCAGGAAGGGCGAAGTAGACACATCCATATACTGGTTTATATCTGGCCTAGTTGCAGTAGTTTTTGATTACTGTGTAACAAATTGCCACAAATTTAATGGCTTAACATGACATAAATTTATTATCTCACAGGTTTCATGGGTCAGGAGACTGACATATTTTCTTACAGGTTGGAAAACAAGATGTTGGTCACTTACAACCTCATTTGGAGGTTCAACCACTAAAATATCCACTTCCAAGCTCCTTCAGGTTGTTGAAAGAATTTATCTTCTCCTATCTATATGACCGAGGTCTCCATTTTCTTGTGAACTCTTGGCCAGAGACTCAGCAGCTAGAGGCTGATGTCAGGTCTGGCCCCTTGGCCCTCTCCATATAGGAAGTTTACTAATGACTGTTTGATCCTAAAGATCAACAGGAGAAATTCTGTTTATTCCTGGATGGAGGGCCCAGCCTCACAAGAACTCACATGGTTAGGTCAGACCCACCCATGATAATCCTCCTTGTGATCAACGTATAATCAACTAATTTGGGACCTTAATTACATCTGCAAAATCTCTTCACCTTTGTCATAGCACATAATCTAATTACAGGGGGAAAAGAGTGTAAACACCACAGGGCAGAAATCGTGGGGGCAGCCTCAGAATTCTGCTAGCCATGCTTGTGGAACCAGGACTCACCCAGGGATTAGAAGATGAGCCATGAGAGGACAACCAAAATGCCCGATGGATACAGGGAGAAGACACAGGGGCATAAAGGAGGAGGTTGGGGAAACTGTGTGTCCCTGCCGAAGATGCCTCTCTGTTCCTGGAGTGCTTCGCTAGAGGCAGAGGGAGAGGGGAACCGAAGAAAGTGTTGAATATTTATATTTTCTAGACTAAGGTTGCCTCCTATATCTGGCCACTCACCCCAAGAAGAGGAATCACATCACTGGCTGGGCCCAGACCTGAGAGAGGAGGTTATTTCATCTTGCGTCACAGCTCTGATCAACTGGTAGAGTCAGTGTGTAGTATTGTGCTGAGAAGGGTTCCGAGACTGCTGTGGTTCTGTTAGAGTAGGAGACTGGGAGACAGGGCCGAGACCCAATGCAGGGGCTTGCAGAGTGGGTGCAGGTGTTAAACTAAACAAACTTCAAGCAGAAGCTAAACAGAGGGGCTGATAACCACAGGCAAGAACTGGCTTCAACTAGCTGGTCGGCTATCTCTGTCACCTTACATGAACTTTGGCTAATTACAATACCATTTAAATTGTGGTTTTAAAATTTCTCTGCCCCTGAAGTCACCATGACAGTTCCAAGACAGCCATATAAAGTATGAAAATGGAAAGGAACCCAATTCTAGGAATTACTACCCAAATTCTTAGCAAAAGCTAACCCCTTGGTCTTGAATATTCCCGCCCTCAATTAGTAAAACCAAGAAAGATCTAAAACCACTTCCTCTCAGAGCAGCTGCTCTTTTTCGAGCCTGCCTGCTCTCTTTCCTGAGAGTGTACTTTCACTTTCCATAAAAGCTGTTGCTTGGTTGGCTTATGTGGTGCACCCTGAAATTCTTTTCGGACGAACACCAAGAATTTGGAAAAAGCCCCACTCAGAGGATGGTAACAGTTCAGCAGGATAGAGTGCTATGGTTGATTAGCTATGTCTGTCATGACCTCTGGGTTGATGATTGGAAATATGTTGAACAAGTATTGGCCATCCCTGACTTAGACTGTAAACATCACTCAAAGTCTGAACAGATATTAAACAAAGGCGCAGTGCTTAGGAATATCCAGTGTATAGGAAAGAGATGACCTTTATAAGATAGTTTCTTATGCTTCCCATCCCTACAACTGTCATTTTTGTACTTTAAAAACTTTCATGGGAAAGTTCTTTACTTTTAGGTCCAATCCATCAATGATTGCTTGGGGAGTGGAAGGTAAATGTAAGAATTTGCAGAGCTCAAGAAGTGATGGATTCATAAAACAGAATCCCGTTGATGTCTGCAAATGGTTTTGCTTTGTTCCCAAAGCAAATTATGTGTCTAATTTCCAAATGCTGCTCAAAATCCACGAAAAGAAGGAAGTGTCCCCATTAAAGAAAGGATTGACGGAGTGACTTCCCTAAGAGTCAGATGAGCTACATCCCATTTAGCAGAGAGAGAAATTCGGGGTCACGTCTGGGTCGCTAGACCTCCTCCAGACCTTCTCATTTTAAACAGATCAGGCTCTTGAACATTTTAATATTGGGAACATTTGCATCTCCTTGTCAGAGCCTTCTCTGCATTCACATTCCTTGGGGATTGGCAAGGAGAAGTCACCTCATTTTCACAACTTCACGGCATTTTTCCACTTTGTGAAAATGCCCTCATGTTTGTCACTCATACGATAAACAAAAGCAAGAAAGCAAATCCATCTGCAGAACAGTGCCATATGAAGCTAAATTAAAATGCTAATGGGTGAGCATGACACAGAGAAAACAGCACACTGCTGAGAGTTAAAGGAACACGGATTTCACGCAGAAAGGCCCTCTGCACCACAGTCTTCACTCTGAGGGGCTGGAGACAAGGAAAGTAGGACAGAAGTAGAAACCAAACTTCCATACCTCCTGGTCCCAACTATTGCTCCTCTTAGCTCTCTGGCTTGGTTTTTCTTGGAATGAGGTTCTGTGAAGTCTGAAGAAACAGCCCCTAGCAATGCTTTCTCATAGAAAATATCCATTATTTTTTTCCTTCCCCCTCTAACCACTTATGGAATGGAACTACTTTGATATGGACAATAGTACTGACTACCTGTCCAGGAAAAATAAAAAAAAAGATAAAAATAAAAAAAAGATATGGACAATAAGATGCAATTACCCTTCGGGGCTGAGCAAGGGAAGAATGCATCACCAAGATGAACACAGGAATAAAACTAAGACACTTACCCTTAAAACACTAGACAGAATGCATGCCTCTGATATTCGCATCACTACCGAGCCAAATTATTTAGTCTATAGATGTCAGATGCATCAGGACTGTTCTTCTAATTGCTGTGCTATCCCCTGGGTGTAGAACTTAGGAATGCTAATTTGGTGAATCAATTTTAAAGATCTTTGGAAGAAAACTGACTTGGATTCAATACATTCAGAGATGAATAACATCCCTGAAATTTGGGAATGGAATATGGTTCCATTAAGAAGCTGCTGTAGAAATGAAGTAGAACGAGATATTTAAGAAATTCTAAGCATCTCTCTTCACAGCAAGACTTGTGAGGTGTGTTTAAGGAAAAGGTATTAATACTCTATTGCCATTCCAAATGTTTCTAAAAACAAACAGACAAACCTATATGTTATGCCGTTGTGCATTTATTGAATAACTCCAAGCCATAAGCATGCATTGATTCTTCGGTTGCCATGGCAGAGCGAATGGTTTCTGTGTTATGATGGCAGTTGCCATATGTTCGGCTTCAAATCAACTGATTCCATCACAAAAGGAGGAGAGAGCAGAGGGGGCTGTTCTGAGATTCCTATTAGCATTGACTTGTCACATGAGCCTCTGTTCTGGGCCCAACATTGAATACATGCCACAGCCATGGCTGTAAACAAACACATTTGCATGGGATTCTTACACACAAGCCAC